CCCGGGAATGGGGGTGGGATATCCCCAGGAATGGGGGTGGGATATCCCAGGGAATGGGGGTCCTGGAAGGGTGGGATATCCCTGGGAATGGGGGTGGGATAGATGGGGAATGGGGGTCTTGGAATGGTGGGATATCCCCGGGAATGGGGGTGGATAGACCGGGAATGGGGGTCTTGGAAGGGTGGGATATCCCTGGGAATGGGGATCCTGGGGGGTTGGATATCCCCGGGAATGGGGGTGGGATATCCCGGGGAATGGGGGTCCTGGAAGGGTGGGATATCCCCGGGAATGGGGGTCCTGGAAGGGTGGGATATCCCTGAGAGTGGGGGTCCCGGTGGGTGGGACACCCCTGTGCACAGGGCCACCCCTGTTTGTCCCCCTCCAACGCCATCTTGTCCCCTCCAGACTGGACAATTTGCTGAACGTGGCGTACGGGGTGAAGAGGTAACGCCCCCAAATCCCCAAAATCCCCCCCAAACCCCCTCTCCCCCACTCCCTGGGGACCCTCCCCAGCGCAGGAGGGACCCCTCCCCACCCCCCTCACCGCTGACCCCAGGCCAGCCCCTTGTCGCTGCTGCCCAGGTTCTCACCGTTGGCCATCGAGGCGGTGCCGGCGCTGGCCGGGGTGGGCTTGGGGACCCCCGGCCCGGGCTGGTGCATCTTCGTCTACAACCTGGCCCCGGAGGCGGACGAGAGCGTCCTGTGGCAGCTCTTCGGGCCCTTCGGCGCCGTCACCAACGTCAAGGTCATCCGCGACTTCGCCACCAACAAGTGCAAAGGCTTCGGCTTCGTCACCATGACCAACTACGAGGAGGCGGCCATGGCCATCGCCAGCCTCAACGGCTACCGCCTGGGCGACCGCGTGCTCCAGGTGTCCTTCAAGACCACCAAGCAGCACAAGGCCTGAGGTTTGGGCCCCAGCTGGCGCGGGGTCTCCCGTCAGGACCCCCGTGGAGAAGCTCTCAGCTGGAGGTTCTGGGGACCCCCTGCGTGGGCACCATGGGGGCCGTGGAGGAAGCCAGCTGGAGACCTGGAGATCTTGGGGAGCTTCAGGGATCTCACCATGAGCACCATGGAGAACATGGAGAACTCAGCTGGAGACCTGGAGATCTTGGGGAGCTTCAGGGATCTCACCATGAGCACCATGGAGAACATGGAGAACTCAGCTGGAGACCTGGAGATCTTGGGGAGCTTCAGGGATCTCACCATGAGCACCATGGAGAACATGGAGAACTCAGCTGGAGACCTCGGGGAGCTTCAGGGATCTCACCATGAGCACCATGGAGAACATGGAGAACTCAGCTGGAGACCCTGAGGAGCTTCAGGGAGCTTCAGGGACCCTCTATGAACACCATGGAGAACATGGAGAACTCAGCTGGCGACCTGGAGCTCTTGGGGAGCTTCAGTGATCCCTCCATGAGCACCATGGAGAACATGGAGAACTCAGCTGGAGACCTGGAGACCTTGGGGAGCTTCAGGGATCCCTCCATGAGCACCATGGAGAACATGGAGAACTCAGCTGGAGACCCTGAGGAGCTTCAGGGAGCTTCAGGGACCCTCTATGAGCACCATGGAGAACATGGAGAACTCAGCTGGAGACCTGGCGATCTTGGGGAGCTTCAGGGATCCCTCCATGAGCACCATGGAGAACATGGAGAACTCAGCTGGAGACCTGGCGATCTTGGGGAGCTTCAGGGATCCCTCCATGAGCACCATGGAGAACATGGAGAACTCAGCTGGAGACCTGGAGATCTTGGGGAGCTTCAGGGACCCTCTATGAGCACCATGGAGAACATGGAGAAACTCAGCTGGAGACCTCGGGGACCTTCAGGGATCTCACCATGAGCACCATGGAGAACATGGAGAAACTCAGCTGGAGACCTCGGGGACCCCCACGAGCACCAAACACATCCTGGAGACCTCAAGGACCCCTCCATGGGCACCATGGAGAAACCCACGTGAAGACCTGGAGACCTCAGGGTCCCCCCCCATGAGCACCGTGGAGACCATGGAGAGACCCGACTTTAGGTCCTGGGCGTCCCCTCCATGGACACCAAGGACATCCTGGGTCTCCAGGATGGAGAAACACACCTGGAGACCTCGGAGAGACCGCGGGGACACCCCACGAGCACCACGGACACGGTGGAGACCCAGGAGAGCCCCTCCATGGCCACTGAGGACACCGTGGGGACAACCTGGACACCTGGGCGGCCTCACCTGTCCCCGATGGACATCCTGAGGACTCCTCCAGGTGCCCCAGGGCGCTGGGAGGGGCTCCTGGAAAGCCTGGAGATCCCCCCCAGGACACTGTGGACACACCTGGGACCCCACCCCTCCCCTCCAGGTACCCCAAGCCCCACCACTCTGGCAGTGGCCGGACCACCTGGAGCGGTGCCCCCCCCTCACCTGATCCAGGTGTGTCCAGGTGGGGGCTGTGCCCCCCCTCCCCTCCACTCCAGGACTCCGGGGATGGGGGGAGAGGGGGGCCGGGGGGCGTCTGCTCGCTCTCTCCTTCTTTCCATGTTTTTTCCTTAATGTTTTGGGAGGAGCGGGGGAGGAATTTTTGGGGGAGAAAGAAACAAAAAGGAGGATTAATCGCATTTTTAATTAGACGCGTTGCCCGTTATCAGGTAAGGAGGAGCGTGACTGACGCAGGGAGACCCAAAATCCATCTATTTTTATAACAGAATATTAAAAATATCCCCTTCCCCCCCCCCAAAAAAAAACCCCCAAAATCGCCTTTCCAGAGGGGGTGAGAACCTGTTTTGTGCTCCCCAAGTTCCTCGGAAAGCGGCTTGTGAACCCCAGGTGTGGTCAAGGCAAGTTTTGGGGGGTCAGTGGCACTGAAATTCCAGGGGTTCCGCTGGTATCCCCAAAACCGGGAGGGAGGGGATGTGTCTTCTCACGCTTCCCCCCCCCTCCCGCCTTCCCACGTTCTCCAAAATGGGCATTTTTTGCCCCAAATTTCTCCATTTGCTGGAGTTTGGCCACTTGGAGCCTCCTGTCCAAAAAAAGAAAAGGGCGGAACCCCAACCCTCAAAAGCCTCAACCCTGAGTTCCCCCATCCTCCTTATCGTTGTTATTATTCTTAATTATTCTTCTTATTAATTATTATTGATGTTATTATTGTTATTATTATTATTATTGTTATTATTATTATTATTATTATTGCGATTCTTATTTATTTTCCCTTCGCCGTCGGGATAATTTCTCACTTTTCAGTGGTTTGTTTCCCATTTATTTCCTATTCTTCCCTGGTTTTCCCCAATCCTGGTACTCCCCAGGACCCTCTTTTTTCCCCCCAGACCCTTCCCCAAACCCACCCCTGCTCCTGGTTTTTTTGTGTCGTGCCTGTGTGAAGCTTCTTGTAGTTTTAATTATTATTAATATAAGTATTTAGGAGCGACCCCCGTGTCCAGATCCGCCATCACACCCCCAAACTCTGACCCCCGCTCCCTCTTCCAGGGATCCAGCCCTGGAATTTTGGGGAGGGGGGGCCAGGGGACCCCCAATTCAGTAGCAATAAGGGGTCCCCACCTCAGCCCCGGCCCATTTTTGGGGGGCCCAACGCGGGGACAGAACGTGCCCAGGGCCCCCCCTGTGGCACCGCGGGACCCCTCGGAGGGGACCGGGACCTCCCTGGCCCCCACCCCTGGACTCGACTCTTTGTATTTTTCATGGAAAAAAATCAATAAAAAAATTTAAAAGTCAGAATTGTCTGGGATTTTGGCTGGGAGGGCACATCCGTCCAGGACTGGACGGCTGAGGGAACGTCGGCCATTTTCCCCTCAGGTTTCCCGCTCTTTTCCCCTCACGTTTCCTGCTCTTTTTCCCCTCATGTTTCCTGCCCTTTTCCCCTCACATTCCTGCTCTTTTCCCCTCATGTTCCCACTCTTTTTCCCCCTCACGTTTCCTGCCCTTTTTCCCCTCAGGTTTCCCGCTCTTTTCCCCTCACGTTTCCTGCTCTTTTTCCCCTCATGTTTCCTGCCCTTTTCCCCTCACATTCCTGCTCTTTTCCCCTCATGTTCCCACTCTTTTTCCCCCTCACGTTTCCTGCCCTTTTTCCCCTCAGGTTTCCCGCTCTTTTCCCCTCACGTTTCCTGCTCTTTTTCCCCTCATGTTTCCTGCCCTTTTCCCCTCACATTCCTGCTCTTTTCCCCTCATGTTCCCACTCTTTTTCCCCCTCACGTTTCCTGCCCTTTTTCCCCTCAGGTTTCCCGCTCTTTTCCCCTCACGTTTCCTGCTCTTTTTCCCCTCATGTTTCCTGCCCTTTTCCCCTCACATTCCTGCTCTTTTCCCCTCATGTTCCCACTCTTTTTCCCCCTCACGTTTCCTGCCCTTTTTCCCCTCAGGTTTCCCGCTCTTTTCCCCCTCACATTCCCACCCTTTTTCCCCTCACATTTTCCGCTCTTTTTCCCCTCAGGTTTTCTGCCCTTTCCCCCTCATGTTTCCCATTCTTTTCCCCTCACGTTTCCCGCTCTTTTCCCCTCACGTTTCCTGCTCTTTTTCCCCTCACATTCCCGCTCTTTTCCCCTCAGGTTTCCCGCTCTTTTTCCCCTCACGTTTCCCGCTCTTTTTCCCCTCAGGTTTTCTGCCCATTCCCCCCTCACATTTCCCACCCTTTTCACCTCAGCTTTTCCTGGCCTTTTCCCATCATCCAGGTAACAACAGAAAAAAGGGGGTTTTTCTCTCCGCTTAAACATCTTTTCTCCTCCAAAACTTGATGCTTTCGGGCTGGACTGGACAGGGACTGCGGGCACTGCGGCGGGACCGGGATATCACAGGAGGCTCCGGGATGCGCTGAGGGGGCGGTTTTGGGATTGCTAGACAAGATTTAGAGACCCATATATAATTTCAAATTATGGGTTTGAGGGCTCTAAAGGGGGAGGTTAAAGGGCGATTAAAGAGTTTTGGGCCGTGTTGGGTACATCAGCGTCCAGCGCCGCCGCCGCCGCCACTCCGTTCCCGCCACACTGCCGTAAAGCGCCGCCGCCGCCCCGTAGTGTCCGCCACTCTACCGTAAAGCGCCGCCGTCGCTCTGGCCACACTGCCGTGAAGCGCCGCCACCGCCCCGTAGTGTCCGCCACTCTACCGTAAAGCGCCGCCACCGCCCCGTAGTGTCCGCCACTCTACCGTAAAGCGCCGCCGTCGCTCTGGCCACACTGCCGTAAAGCGCCGGTGCACCGGGACCCCGCCGGTCCCCGGTTTTCGGGGTCCGGTTGAAGGAAATCTCAATTTTGCCGTGATTTCAGGGGCGTCCCTCGACGGGGAACCCCCATTTCCCGTTATTTCCGGGTTTAAATGGAAGGGAAAACACGTTTAAAATGAGGGCGACCCCCCGTTTTCATCCCCTTAAGGGTTAAACTGAGGAGAAATCCCTTTTTCCCCCTCATTTTTTAAGAGTTTAAATGGAAATAAAACCTTTTATGGGCCATTTTCGGACTTTAATCGAGGGAAACCCTTCTTTTTAAACGGAAATAAATGTCCAAAAATTGCTTTTTTTGAGGGAAAAAAAACCCCCGTGGGTGAGGCAAGGTGAGGGAATTGAGGAAGAAATTCAATTTTATTTCAGTTTCAGTGGGTTAAAATGAGGCGGAATCCTCCATTTTCAGCTTTCAATTGAGGAGAAATTCCCTTTTTCCGTCATTTCGGGGGTTTAAATTGGGGGTCCCGTGGCGGGGGGTCCATCCCGGGGGTTCGGGTTAGGGAGGGACAGAGGGACACGGGGACAGCCCCGGGGACACCGGGGGTACCGGGGGGGGGACACCGGGGGGCTCCCGGTGCGGGGCTGGGAGGAGCCGCCGCCTTTCCGCCGCTCCCACCGGGGACAAAGGCGGGAGATGCCGGGGAGCGCCGCGGAACCGGGAGCGGCGGGGTACGGGGATGGTACCGGGATCGGTACCGGGAACGGCACCGGGAATGGAACCGGGAGCGGCGGGGTACGGGGATGGTACCGGGATCGGTACCGGGAGTGGAACCGGGAACGGCACCGGGAACGGAACCGGGAGCGGCGGGGTACGGGGATGGTACCGGGATCGGTACCGGGAGTGGCACCGGGAACGGAACCGGGAGTGGTACCGGGAATGGTACCGGGGATGGTACCGGGATCGGTACTGGGAGTGGTACCGAGAATGGAACCAGGAATGGTACCGGGAATGGAACCGGGAGGCGGCGGGGTACGGGGATGGTACCGGGATCGGTACCGGGAATGGAACCGGGAATGGAACCAGGAATGGTACCGGGAGTGGCTCCGGGAGGCGGCGGGGTACGGGAATGGCACCGGGAATGGTACCGGGAATGGAACCGGGAACGGCTCCGGGAGGCAGCCAGGTACGGGAATGGTACCGGGATCGGTACCGGGAACGGCTCCGGGAGGCAGCGGGGTACGGGAGTGGCACCGGGAATGGAACCGGCAATGGAACCGGGAGGCGGCGGGGTACGGGAATGGTACCGGGAACGGTACCGGGAATGGCACCGGGAACGGTACCGGTACCGGCATCGGGAATGGTACGGGGAACGGCTCCGGGATCGGTACCGGGACCGGGAGACGGGCGCGGGGCCGGGGCCGGTTCGGGCTGGCAGCTGCCGTCCCCGCCGCGTTTCCGCCGCTGTCACCGGGCGCTCCCACCGGCACCGGGGCCGCTCCCTCCCGGGGGCTCGGGAACGGCATCGGAACCGGGTCCCGCCCCACCCCCGGCTCCCGGTGCTGCCCCGGCGGAACCGCGGGGCTCTCCGGGATGCGGAGCGGGGCCATTTCGGCTCCGGCGGTACTGGTACCGGTACCGGGGAAGGATTGTGGTGCCGGTACCGGGGAAGGATCGCGGTGCCAGTACCGGTACCGGGGAAGGATTGCGGTGCCAGTACCGGTACCGGGGAAGGATGACAGTGCCGGTAGCGGGGAAGGATTGTGGTGCTGGTACTGGAGAAGGATCGCGGTACCGGTACCGGAGAAGGATGGCGGTGTCGGTACCGGTACCGGGGAAGGATCGCGGTGCCGGTACCGGTACCGGGGAAGGACTGCGGTGCCGGTACCGTGACCGGCGATGCCGCGGGATGCGATGCCGCGGTTTCCATGGCAACCCGTACCGGGAGGAGCCCCGGGGTAGCGAGCGGGGCTCTCGGGGCGCTCCGACCCCACCGGGAGCGTTTCGGGCTCGGCCGCCGGTACCGGGGGGGTCCCGGGGGGGTCCGGGGGGGTCCCGGGGGGGTCTCCGCACTCCCCCCTCACCCTCATCTCCCCCCGCAGGTCCCGCAGCCCCCCCGGGATTTTCCGGAGCACCGGGACCCCACGTGAGGAGGAACCGGAGCAGCGCGGCCGGGCCCGGGCCGCAGGTGAGGGGCAGCGGGGGGGGCCCGTGGGGAGGGGTCGTGTCGTGACAGAGCCGTGACAGAGCCACGACACCCCGGTGACATCCCGGTGACATCCCGGTGACACCCCGGTGATATCCCCAGTGACATCCCGGTGACATCCCAGTGACATCCCGGTGACACCGTGGTGACATCCCCAGTGACATCCCGGTGACATCCCGGTGATATCCCGGTGACATCCCGGTGACATCCCGGTGACATCCCGGTGACATCCCCAGTGACATCCCGGTGACATCCCGGTGATATCCCTGTGACATCCCGGTGATATCCCCAGTGACATCCTGGTGACATCCCGGTGACACCCCGGTGATATCCCCGGTGATATCCCGGTGACATCTCGGTGACATCCCGGTGACATCCCGGTGACATCCCCAGTGACACCCCGGTGATATCCCCGGTGACATCCCGGTGACACCCCGGTGATATCCCAGTGGCATCCCAGTGACACTCCGGTGATATCCCAGTGACATCCCGGTGACATCCTGGTGACACCGCGGTGACATCCCGGTGACATCCC